AAGTAAATTAAATAGGTAGGTTTAACTAGGTAGCTGAATTAGGGAGCCGATAAGGAGAACTCCACGTGGTATTCAGGCAGTAAAAGCAGTTTATTGTTTTACTGACCTGCTGCCGGAGCTGTTCCAGATGGAGACCACGTGTCTAAAGGGGCCGGCTGAGGTCTAGCCTGGGTTTGTATGGAAGGGCCCGGGAGAAGGTGTGGCCAGGTGAGGGAAGGTGTGGCCACACTGGATACCAATGTGACCTCAGGGCCTGGGATCCTCCCCTCCGAGCTCCGTTCCCTTCGTTCCCTCGCCCCCACCCTCCCATGGGAGGTGTGAGAGGGGATGGGTGGAGGAGGGATGACCCTGGATGTGACCTTGAAGGAGGGGATGACTAACTACAGGTGTGCCAGTTACTTATGTGACACAGGTATTGGGCAAAGACTTAGCCAAGAGGTGGGAGGAGTCTGCCCTTCTCAGGGTGGACCTTACAAAAATAACAAAACACAGGGTACTGCTAGTCTGACTAGCAGATTCCAGGTGAGAAATGAAGAAATGCTCATGCAGTTGTGATGCCTCATTTTTAACAGTTTTAATATTAAATGAGTAATAATCCAATCGCACCATGGGGCAAGGAATGGGTTAACAGACAGACATAGGTAAGCAGTTCTCTTCTCCACTCTCTGCTTTATAGATTCAAATTGGCCTGGAACTAAATTAATGGTGTTATAGGGAAAATAAAAGGGCTTTTTCCAAGACGTAGATAGTAAGAAGTTAAGAAGTACTGAGGTAAGCAGTTTTGATAACAGATCCAGAATGCCTGGAATCCTGTCTTTTGACAGAATTCCTGCAGAAGGTCAACACACACACACACACACACACACACACACACACACACACACACACACACACACACTCTGGGTTTTCTAGGGTTAACATCGAGATACCTGTCAAATTTCTTTTGCCAATCACATTCCCCACAAGGTGACAGGATTCCCACATAAATACTGTAAACATCCGTGGGGTTAAAGCATTTCTTGGGTTCTTGTAGGCTCAGGCATATTATGATAGTTGCAGTTGTTGACAAGTTGTTACTTCTTGTGATGCCATATACATATATACTACATTCTGGAAATATGGGACATATGGCCAGCCCTAACATGAGAGTAACAACACTGAATCTTAGAATATTAACCGTTTTTTCTCCCCTCCCCTCTACTCCCATTCCCTTCCCTTCATTCTCTCTTCCCCTTCCCCTTTTCTTTTGTTATAGGAGAATTCAATCAGGGAAATAGAGAAGCCACACTTTGAGAGATCCAATCAGAAGTGTTTATTATAAAGCCTATGACTGCGGCCACACTTTGAGAGATCCAATCAGAAGTGTTTATTACAAAGCCTATGACTGCGAGCAGAGTCACGTCCCAAAGAACTCACAGCCCCAAAGCAGCCCCAATACAAAATTTATAAAAGCAAAAATTACATGATTGACATGAGAAACTAAACCTACCAAAATCATGTATACAAAAGCAAAGCAAGCTAGGTGGATCAGGGCCTAGGGCAAAAATTCCCCGGAGCAAGACTTTTTGGGAGCTAAACAACCCATGGCATATCTGCAATTCAAAGAATGACCTATATCACCTCTAGAGTTTTTGGAACTGGGTGAAAAGTCCCCACCTTGGATTAAGACGCCAAGATGGTGATGAAGACAAGATGGCAGCCAAGAGAAGATGGCATTACTTAGACCCTGTTTCCATATTTCACCTCCTGCTTTCCTTTCCTTTTCTTTCCTTCCTTCCTCCTTCCCTCCTTCCCTTCTTCGCTTCCTTCCTTCCTTCCTTCCTTCCTTCCTTCCTTCCTTCCTTCCTTCTTTCGTTTCTTTCTTGTGTCAGTACTGCTATTTGAACTCAGGGCCTAATCCTTGTTAGGCAGTTACTTTATCACTTGAGCCATACCATCCCAGAACCTTTGAGTTTTGTGAAAATTTTTGCTTTGCCCTCCTATTGGGAGTCCAAGTGATTATGCTATTTAAATTGCTCATCTTGGACTAGGTGGTATATAGTCACTGAAACAAAAAATAGAACATAAATAACAGCCATGGAAATGTTAAATATGATACCAGGTCTAGTGTGCACAAGTACATTGTGCCAGTTTAAACTTTCATATACTTTCTCTTTATACTTTGAAACCTTTCCATCGATCCATAAGTTTGTCATCACAGGGACTTCCATGTGGCCTTCCAGATCTCCTTAGGTAGTATTAGTTTGTACCTGGTGCTCATCATAATAATTAATTATCAAAAGTGTCCTAGTTTAGAGAACCACTTATTTGCTTACCCTGCGTGTGACTAGATTATGGAGAGAAATGAATGTGTGCTTTGTTTATAGATTTCAGTCTGGTATTTTGGTATTATTTAGAAGTTGGTAGTCAACGTACTACAACCTTTAAATGACATCTTGTTGTGTATTTTGTATACAAAGTGACATGATCTGACATACAGAATTAAACTGATTCAGGATACTCCAGATTGGTCACTTGGTCATAAATTAGAAAAGAATAAAACATTTGAAAAAAATAAATTGGAAGATTGGTGATAAGGAGATACTAGTACAAAGTTTTATCTATAGACATAGGATGGGACACAAATGAAGATTTTTGTTATTCATGGAAATGCCTGTGAAACATTTATTGTGAAGGAAATCACAAGAGGAAATCTCAAAGTTAAGATGGCACTTTTTGCTGGTGACATTTAGCTTCTTTCCCTTGTCACTATGTTTGCTCAATATGCCATTGTTCAAATAACTCTGATAGCAGAGATAGAAGTTACTCAAAAATTTAACAAGATAGATGCTGGTGGCACATTCTTGTAATGTTAGTTACTCAAAAGCTGAGATTTGAAGATCATGGTTTGAAGCCAGCCCAGTCAAGAAACTCTATGAAACTTTTATCTCCAATTAACCAGCAAAAAGCTGGAAGTAGAGGTGTGGCTCAAGTGGTAGGAAGCCAACCTTGAGTGACAAAGCTAAGGGACAATGCCCAGGTCCTGAGTTCAAGTCACAGTATCAGCACAAGAAAAAGAAAAGACCATAACAATATGACAACTCTTCTGACTAAATTTAGCTCCTCTCTTAAATACCCAGTCTACAAATAGCAGAGGCCAATTTTGAACCCTGATTTGACAATATTCCCTAGCATAATTTGTCTTACAAATAAGAGCTGTGAATTTCAAAGTAGGAAGAGAAGGGGGTTATATGTAAAATATGAACAAAAAAGCACAAATTCATCAGATAATGAGAATAATTCTTCTCCACCATTAGTGATGTTGTTACTGCTGAATTCTTTTTGTAAAATGTATCAGAAAGAAGGAAATTGTATAATTCAGCAATTTCATCTCTGTACATCAGCTCATTCAGTTCTCATTATAACTCTGTAAATTAGACAGTAATCTCATTACAGAAGTAAAGTGCAGACACCAAGATTTTCACATCTAAAATATCATGGCTGGTAAGTGTTGTCAAGGATGAAAGCTAGATCTATCTTTTTTTTCCCCATAGTGTTTTTTTTTTTTTTTGGGGGGTCTGGTCGTGGGGCCTGAACTCTGGGCCTGAGTGCTGTCCCTCAGCTCTTCAGCTCAAGGCTAGCGATCTACCACTTGAGCCACAGCTCCACTTCCGGTTTTCTTTTTGCTTATGTGGTGCTGAGGAATCGAACCCAGGGCCTCAGGCATGCAAGGCAAGCGCTCTACCACTGAGCTAACTTCCCAGCCCCCCCCCCCCCATAGTGTTTTTTAAGGAGACTCTTGAATGAAAAGGTTGGTCTCAGGGATTATTTGATTATTAGTAGGAGAGCCTACCTGAGGAGAGGGAAGCAGTAAGAATGGCAACATGCTCCAAGACTTCAGAAGATTGCCAGGTTAGGAGGAAACTCAGGGCTCTTTTTCTTTGGCTATATCTCTATAAACTCTTTGACAAGGTATAGAGGAGAGTCTGAGTTCCACAGAGTCTAAGATCTGGGCTGGGCAACTTAGGAGCAGTGGAGAAAATAAAGCGAGAGACTAATTTTCAGAGATGACCAGATGTGGACTTGAAACCTTTTAATTTAGACATTTAGTTCTGATGGACATATACCTAGTCCTGGTAACAAGCAAGCATCATTTTCTTTAGCCTTTTCCCTATGTTATATTTCACAGGAATGAATTAATTCCTACATAACTCTTCTGTATTTCTTCTTCTTGGAGGAACATCTTCATTCTGGAGATTTATTTTTCATTGTGTTATAAGAAACACTTGTTTGATCTCCCCCAGCCCCTCCAGTGGTGCTTGGAGTCTTTGCTCCAGTAACAGGGGCACCTTGTGTTAGGTCTTTTCACAGAATGTGGGATGTGCAGTGTTAGTTTGAGACAATATATGTGTTGTAATTGAGTATGGCTTAGAATGACTATTTTTGTTTTTATTGTGATTATCTGTCTACTTGCCAGTCATAGCCATTGTAATTTTTGAAGGAAAGTCCTGCATGGTTGATACCTAGCACCATGCTTTGGACTTAGATAAATAATCAGTAAACTTTAGCTGCTAAAAATTAATGAATTATATAAAAAGAGTTAGTAAATAGCAAATAGAAAGGAGGAGTATGCTTTTCTCAACTATTTACATATATAAACAATAAGCATACGATTCCTGATATTTTCAGTGAGAAAAATTCTTTATTTAAAATAGGCTAATTGCCTTTTCTTTTACTAGATTAAATAAAATATTTCTACAAATGAGAACTTTAAATCCAATATATTAAACCCAGTGATACCAGCCAGGGGTCCTCCACCAATCCTCATTTAATAACGCTTAAATGCAATATCTTAAAATTCCTTCGCTTGAAGGAAAAAGTGGTGCCATCTCTCCTTGATATAATAGTATTATGCTAGTAAGAGAAATTCTATTATGTCTAAGATAGCTAGGAAGCAAGATTAGCAAATTCTGAGTCTTAGGATTGCTCTAATGTTGTTAATAGGTTGTCTACATCACAGAGACAGTTGACACATTTTATTTGAATAAGAGAATGGAAGCAAGAAGGGGACCTACACTATTTCTAGCCACTTGTATTTATTAATACATGCTTAGTGCTTTTTAATGCCTTTGCTGCAGGAGGGTAATAAGTGTTTTAGCAAAAAGATACACTATGGGGACAAAGCTAGGAAGCTTGTGCATACAGAATGTAGCTGGTATATCAAGGCTGTCAGGGCTCTTGGAAACGCCAGGCATCATGTACCATCTGGGGATGGTGCATTTTGTTTCCCGGAATCAATGTTTGCTGAGTGTCTGGGGACATTGTGGTATCCATGGTAGCCTCGCCCTCACCCAAGGGTGTGGTAACATCACTACCATAGACATCATAAACTTCAGACAATTCAGGGGTCATCAGTGGATCAGTGTTTGCTGGGGTGACCCCAGGGGATCCCGGCCTTTGGCCAGCAGGGCCCCTGGCCAGACTGGGAATGTTGTCGTCAGGGAAACCCAGGAGCCCTGCATGGGCACCAGATGCTATATGGGAAAGGCGAGCAGGGCCTTCTGGGTTGCCCTCGTGCAGAGGGGACCCCTGAGGCTCTTCTTCTCCCTTCTCAGGACCCTTGGTTCCTTTGGTTACAGACACTGGGGAGTCAAATTCCAGAGTAAAGTCTCCTCCTTTGGCTGTGTTGGGGCCTAGTCCTCTAAGGGTGTGCCTCAGGCCTTCAAATCCTGGGAACATAGCTCCATAGGCCATTGGGCCTCTTGCTCCCTGGAAAATAAACATTTATCAAAGATACTGTTATTACATACTGTTAATAATGCCACGTAATTATACCCGGTCAAATTTCCTGAGAAGCAATATTTTTTTTTAAAAAATCTGATAGAAGAAACAGAGTGTTCAGTAGATAGTTTTGTGAAAGCATACTTTTTAGTTTTGAAATTGAATGGAGTGGATTACCTGTGGAAAGAAAGGCCATTTCTATGAAGGATAGAAGCTTTCCACCATGCTAACTTTAAGAAAGCAACAAGAAGTTGAAGTGGGTACTACCATTATAAAGAAATACCGAAATCCTTAGCAGTATCGAGGAACGTTTTGAAGGCTCTTACGCATGCCTCCAAATGGATGAAGCCTCAATAGAAGAGTTTTTCTTTCTCCCCTTCCTCTTTCCCTCCCTCTCCCTTCCTCACATTCCTTCTTTAACAAATTACAATTTCTCTGGAGGAACTAAAATATTTTATTTCTGTGGTCATTCAGAGTTTCAGAACTTACCTTGGTTCTTTTTCTACCTGTGCTACTAGAAATATGGGAACCAAAATCTGCAACCAATTGCAAGGGAGCAGGGCTATATAACTTGTATACACATATTCTGATTTTCTTGCAGTTTTGGCTCATTAAAACCTGCCTCGATCTTTAAAAATGTTTATTTTATGCTTCTCATAAATGAAGCACAAAATAAATAACTTAATATTAAAGATGGTAATTAGCACTTGCATTTTTAATTTTCAGCTATTTATGTTAGTATTATATAAATATGATACACTTTCCTTCTCTCTTTTCTTGTCTCTTTACTAACTTTCAGGTGTCCTATTGTCTCATCCAGAGATTGTACTGTGAATCTCTAATCTGGGCTATCTTTCCTGTCTTCCTTTTTCCTTCTAATAAAGTGTTCCTTTCCTGGAATTTAACATTATCTTTATTGTATATATTTTTCCATCATTAGATTATTGAGATCACTGAGAACATTTATCTTGTCTATAGTATCTATCTATGTATCTGGCACACAGAAGGCACTAAAACTGTTTGGATGTGAGTATTCTCTTAGTGATTAGCATATGTGTATATTTATTTATTCAATAGGCTATATAGTTAATGTCTTGTTAATTCACTATAGTTTTTGTTTTGTGCTCTAACAGTTGTAACAGGTAGAAATTTCTGAGGGGAAAAGTCAAGTTATTAGAGTTTATCTCAAATCTGAAACTTGCAAACATACACAGGTATACTTGTAAACAAATAGTGTTATTGCTTAATACATTTTGAAGTTCATAGTAATCAAATTTCATACTTGATTAATTTTCTTTTCTCTTTGGACTTTTAGTTTTGAAGTCTGGATTACTTTGTGCCCCTGTTGAAACTTTTGGGTGGATAAATGGTTTGAAAAGGAATGGGAACTCTGAATGAACTATACATATCTTTTTGGGTTTGAAATGTTCACAGTTCAATTATAGCTCTTGAGTGAAAGTATCTCTTCTTCTTATATATAAGGAACTGAGCAAAACACTATGCTCAAGAATGGTCATTACATAGAAAACAGTGATTTATAGTTGGGCGTCAGTAGCTCACACCTGTAATCTTAACTATTCAGAAGGCTGAGAGCTGAGGATTTGGGTTCAAAGCCAGCATGGGGAGAGAAAATCTGCCAGACTCTTATCTCCGTTTAACCACCAAAAAACTGGAAAGGGAGCTGTGGCTCGTGTGATAGAGCACTAGCCTTTAGCAAAAAAGCTCAGGGATAATAAACAAGCCCTGAGTTCAAGTCCAGCCTGGGCACCAGAAAATTAAAAGAAATTAAAAAATTAAAAAAATAAAGAAGAGGAAGAAAAACAAAAAGAATGACTTGTGTAGGGAAGGCAATGAATCAAGCTTTTGATTTTGGAGTGAAAAAATGTGAGTCCTATGCTCCTTTGACTATTTTAATGGCCAGTGTTTCTTATAGACAGTTACCTGTAAATGTTTTCCCTGGCCACTATTTTAAGAAGAGTTAGAAAATACTACTCACAGGCATTTCTTCTGAACTCATGAAGCCAAGTCTGGCAGGAGTATTCTGTTCAAAAAGAAATAGTGCATCACATTTTGAACCAGCTGCCTTCTAATATCTTCTTATCTACTCATGACAAAGTTAAAAGTCTCTTAGTATTATTCCCTAAAGCCTCAACATTAATGCTGTGTTCAGAGGCAGAGGAGATTTGGATAATTATTGAATAAATGTAGCCTATTTAATGTTATTATGTGTGTGTGTGTGTATCTTTGGCTAGAATGATTGGAATAAGAATGCCACCACCTTACTATTTCAATAACTATAGGAATTTATTTGGAACAGCTTATGTAGTATCTAGATTTTATAATGCTAGCCATTAAAAGAATACTTAATTAAAAAATACTTTTTCTAGAATAGGGACTTACCAGTTGATTTGTTCCATATGACATATAAAACATTCCTGGATAAAGCTAAACAAAATAAAATAGTTATAAAAATGCATTTTCCAGAGTAAAAAACCTTATAATTAAGTTTAAGAGAAGTGATATTTTTAAAAAGAAAACTTACTGTAGATGGTTTATTGTCTGGTATTGGTGCCCGAGATATCAAACGGGCTAAATGGAACACCTTTAAGTGGTAGAAAACATAAAAAAATAATTCTCACAGGAAAATTCTCATTACAGTATCCTTCCTTCCTTTCTCTCTTTCTTTCTTAAGATAGAAGACTTTATTTTTGCATTGTTCCATTACACAAATTTCTAAGAATTATCTGAAACACATTTGCAGAAAATTAGTATGAAAAATTAATATTTCAGAAGTAAATATTTCTTCATATTCATGAATAAATGAGATAATTAAAAATTACATTCAAATCCTTTTGACCTATAGCGATTATTTTTTTCAAGGAACTTATCACTGAGATTTGTACTTACTGTTGGAAGTTCTTGACCAGCAAAATCCATTAGTGGCATCTGTATCATAAATATTGAAGTTACCAGTCAAGAGAGACAAAACAAACGGAACATGCACTTATCTTGTTTGCAATTACAAGAAAACAATATAAAATATATTTCTGTTTTACGTTCTTTTAGTCTTTTGAGGTATGTATAGCCCCTATTTCCTATGGAACCTGTCATCTTTGGCAACTAAGAAACCAAAGTTTAAAGTCATTAAATCTTTCAAGAACTGATCCACTATCTCCAAGAGCAAAGGACAGAAATGAGTATTTATATTTGATTACAAAATACAGCCTCAAAATAAAAGACAAATAAGCAATATGTTTGTATTTTAGGGGCCCAAGTGCTGTGATTATTTAAATATCACATGCAAATTAGTGTTCTTCCATTAGTTTACTAGATCACCTGATTTGACCCTAGACAAACAAATCACCTCGGATGTTGGTGGCTTCTCCGATGGTGCCACCTGCTGCTGAACTGCTGGCATTTCTCCATCCTTCAAGGGCAGCTGTCCTGGGTGCATTGGAGGATGGGGACCTCCCTTCTGGACTGTGGCCTGGAAGGCCGTTGAAGCAGTGGGCTGGAGGAAGGGTTTCATTCCTGGCTGTTGAGGATGCAGGGGTGGCTGTGATGGGAGAGGTGGGGGATGCACAGGCAAAGAATATTCATACTGTAGAGAAATTTGAAAAGAGTGTCAGGAAAGGATAGTTGATTGAACTGTGGTGACTAGAATTTCTACAGCCAAAGGGCTTTGGATGCTTTTTATTTGGAAAGAAGATACGGAGAATTGTTTGGAAACAGAGTTTACACAGGTGGCAGAGTCAATGGTATTGGAGAAAGTTTCATGTGTGTTTGTCCCTTCACCTTCTTAAGAACATTATTTCTTGGAAAGATGGAAAGCTATATACCTTAACTTTCTGGTAGAATGAGTTATTTCCTTTATTGGGTTACCATGACTACCTGTATGTATGTTTGTTTTTCCCCTTCAGGGGATTATAAATATTTGTAATAAATATCTGTTCTCTGTTCAACTGAGGGAGATTACTGTATTTTTTATAGATCTTGTATTTTGACCTAATTAACAGACTTCTTAAAAATGTCTGGCACAGAGTGAGTACTTAATACTAATTTAGTTATTAATGAAAAGTTAAAAGGGGAGTTCAAATAAAATACCAATCAAATTCCTTCTGCATGGAGTCCAGTTCGGAGACAATTGCCACTACCATAATTTATTATCTATTCAATGAGACCTGGTGATGCTCTTGTTATGGAAGAGCATCTACAATTAAAAGTTTGTGTTTGGCTTTTTGCCTATTTTAGAAATTACTTCTGGAAAATGGCTCTGAATTGTTTGTAACTACAAACTCCCCAAATAAAAATGGGAATCCCAGTATGATTTGGTTCTGCTTTGCCCCTTCAACTATTGCACATATCTATACTTTCATGTGGAATTGGTTACTTCTGTCTTACAACTGAGTACCTTGGAATATGTTGTTCTTTTCTCTAATCAGATTTGAAATTTACTGAGCCTCACAACCCTTATAAACTGTTTTTACTTTCACTCCCAAATTACAGTTTTGTTAATGTATTTATTTGGCACCTAATATATAATGGTTAACATTGATACTGATTTCTAAAGGGTTCATGGTATTTGTGTGTGTGTGTGTGTGTGTGTGTGTATGTGTGCCAACCATAGGGCTTGAATTCAGGGCCTGGGCACTGTCTCTGAGTTCCCCTCCCCCCACTCAGAGCTCTACCACTTGAGCCACAGTTCCACTTTGTGTTTTTTGGTGATTAATTGGAGATAATAGTCTCACAGACTTCCCCGTTAGGCTGGCTTTGAATTGTGATTCTCAGATTTTAGCCTTCTGAGTAGCTAGGATTACAGGTGTGAGCCACTGGCATATAGCTGTGGTTTTGGTATTTTAACCAGATTCCTACCATCATTTGAAATTCGCCTTTGAATAACTTGGGCAAATTTGTTTAAAATGAAAATGGTTCAGAATACAATCTATTTTTATTTTTGAAGACTGTTTACTGTGATTGCTAATACCTTCAACAAATCTCTTATATTTTGGAGGCCATATTTTTCTATTTGAAATAAATATGAAAATGAAATTTTTAATTTTTCCTTAATAATATAGGATTTTATTTATTTGGCTTTAGGATAATTTTTGTTAAACACTAGTTCTTTACTGCGGGTAGATATACATTGAAGAAAGCAAGTGAAGAAAGATTTAGAGCTTGAAGTTTTAAACACATAGATGAAATTAACTTACCTGTTGAGTTTCGTGTTCTCCTGGTCTCATCCATGGGAAAGAGGCAGGTGGTGGGAGGAGACCATGCAACCACAAAGAATTGAGTGCTTTTCCAAAGCCAAATCTAGAATACTGCAGACATGGAGGACACAATGAACACGTTTATATTTCAACATATACTGTGAACTTAAAGATTAAAAAATGATGCTTTTTAGTGTAAAATAGGCTGGTTCTGACTGTAATACTCATATAAACCTGTTTGAAATTTATCTTTTTAAGACGTGTGCTTTGGGCCATTTATTAAAATTGATGGTGTGAGAAAGGATATTTTAAAAATTTGACTAAAGAAAATTCAGTATTGTTTTTCATTTTTGTTTTTATTTTTTGAGACAGAGTAATCCAAATGAAATCATTATGGACCTCAGACTCACAATCCTCCTGTATCAGCCTCCTGAATGAAGACCATTACTGTTATTATTTCCTTTGTTAGTATGCTTTATTTTGTTTTAAGCTACCTCAGTTATTTATTCTTTCAGTATTTAGTATCTTGTGTATTTATCAATTTTATGATTTATGGTGTTGCTGATATCACAGCCACCACCATTTACATTTGTAATAAGTATTTGAAAATATAATTACCTGAGAAAGTGCATTTAATCCTTGCAAACTTCCCAACTGTCTCATTGTCTGTCAAGAAAAATGGCTACATATTAGTATTTGTGACACATATTACCTGTCATTTTGACTCACTGATTTCTCATGAAATTAAACATTATCAACACAAAGTTGGGGTGGGTCAATTTGTATAAAACAAAATTATTTCTGAAGATACAACTTTTTAGACACAAATCATCTCTGAAAGATACAACTGTAAGTATGGATTTGCCATTGTTATTATTCTATTAAAGCAATGATCTTGCTTTTATCACTAATTCGAAAAGAAAAATTATTAGTTAAGTGCGAGTTGCATTGAAACATGGGAAATAGTTCATTAAGCTGGAATATATGTGAACCTATGAAAATATTGCTATTTTTTACCCTCTTCAATTACTTTGTCTTATAAACTCATCCTGAAGAGGAATTTGGAAGAGCATGCAAACAAATCAGCCCTCACCATTTTACCCCAAATAAAAAAAAGACTTCAAAATAATAAATACACAGTGGAAGAAATGATATCTGGATAGTTTGTGAAGTGGGCAACTACTGCTACAGAAAGCCAGTTTCACATTCTTTTCATGGAAAGGGAGTTAGAGTGCTTTGGATTTAGTTTAAGCAAAAGAAAACAAATCTCAGTAAAATTAGCCTACACATGAAATTAACATCTTGAACATATATACACTGCCTTAAGATTGCCATGATACAAGGAAACTTTACAAGACCTTGTGAAAATTGTGATATTTATGATCTTGTATTTCTCTCAAATTTTAATTGATACTGTGAAAAATTTCTATTTTTGCTTTCGCTTTTGAAAGAGAACTCATGAGAACTGCATTAAAATTAATACAGGGTATATAGTATATATATCATAATACAATGTTAATGCATTTTATAGACTTCTGATGAACAATTTTTTTTTTGGGTCCAGTCATGGGGCCTGAACTCTGGGCCTGGGCGCTCTCCCTTAGCTCTTCAGCTCAAGGCTAGCGCTCTACCACTTGAACCACAGCGCCACTTCTGGCTTTTTTTTCTTTTTGCTGATGTGGTGCTGAGGAATCGAACCCAGTGCCTCATGCATGCAAGGCAAGCACTCTACCACTGAGCCACCTTCCCCAGCCCCTGATGAACAAATTTTTACAGATACATTTTCTTTTTATTATTTTTAGATAAATTTATTTTATCATGTAAAACATGACAACAGAGCTTTTATGAAATATTTGTGACTATCTAGCAAAATGTTTTAATGTAGAAACTCGTTGATGTGTATATATGATGTATACTGAATATTAATATTAATATTACTTTGATTTTATATGTAAATGATGCTCTAAAAAGTAAAACAACTGAGAGTTTAAAGTTGGAGTAAAACTATAAGTTTAAATGCCAGTAAATGTTGTTAACTTCTTTAGATCTGACCATAAATTTCTTGTTAAGTGTAAAGGTAATATGCAAAAATTCTAGTAATACATACCTCAAGGCTCAAACTAGCCATGCCTGGTGGTGCCATACCCTGTGTCCCAGGCTGCTGAGGAAATGCCTAAATAGAAATAAAAATAATTTTGAGCGCCCTTCATAGGGAACTTTCTTTTATTGGGGGGGGGTCTGGTCATGGGGCCTAAACTCTGGGCCTGGGTGCTGTCCCTCAGCTCTTCAGCTCAAGGCTAGCACTCTACCACTTGAGTCACAGCGCCACTTCCAGCTTTTTTCTTTTTGCTTATGTGGTGCTGAGGAATCGAACCCAGGGACTCATGCATGCAAGGCAAGCGCTCTACCACTTTCTTAACTCTGGGAATAGAAAGTTACCCCAGTACATAGAGCTGGTGCAGAGGCCACCATTTTAATTTATAATGGAAATAACTTGATCTTTTGGATAGACTGAAAAATTTCAGTTATTTGGAAAAAGTATTATATTTAATAATTTCATTCCCCCATGAGCTATCTATCTTTAGAATGCATCTTAATATTACATTGTTTTAAAAGCAAAATTTAAGGGGAGGGGGGAGGCTGGGAAGGGATGGGAAGGGTAAACAAAGGAGGGGGCTGCAATGCTTGGTAAGAAATGTACGCAGTATCCTGCCCATGCAATTGTAACCCCTCTGTACAATATGTTCACAAATAAAATAAAATTAAAAAAAATAAAAGCAAAATTTAAGATAGTTTAAAGTGGAACATAATAAGCAATGAATTAACAAAATATAAAACTAATATTATTTGATATTCTTAAAAATGTTCACATAGAAATCTGAATCTCATGAGCTTTCTACAACCCACATGCTTTTGATTTATGCATGTGTTTTGGGAACATGGCCTTGAGAAAGTCATATGCAAAACTCAACTTGCCTTCCATTCAAAAGGCTTCAACAAGTCCTCCATCATGCTTATGTATCTGATTGTTGATATATTTTAAGAATATACCTAAGATATTTTCCTTAAGTAAAATGCATGTCAGCACTAACTACTATACTGTTATACTTAATGTAGCCACTAAAAAGCTGTTAAAAATGTAACTATATTTATGGTTAGCTTTTTAAAATTTTAAGGTATTTCCCTTTCTAAAGAATTCTTATTTCACTTACTAATAAGCACAAATAGCAGTGAATAAAAGGAGAATGAAAGTAAGAGGTAGAATAAAATTGGATTTTTATTTTCGTAGTGTTGAGGATCCAACACGGGGCCATGGGCATGACAAGCAAGAAAGCAAGTTCTCTACCACTGAGCGCCATCCCTAGGCCTATTTTTTTTTTCCTTGAGACAAAGTCTTTTCATGTAGATATGAAATGAGGTTAACAGAATTGTTTAATATTGGCTGGAATAGTTCATCTCAAAGGATTGAATTTGAAGGTGATACATACTGTTGATATATGAGATATATCCTTTGGATATGTGATAAAATCATCACATGTGAGACTCATTGTCCTGACATGTTTTGATCTGAGAAGTTTTAACCTTAAGTCACACAGTTTCTATAAAGTAAATTTATTCTTTGTTAGTTTTGACTGGAATTATCTAGCTTAGTTTTGAAACCATAGTAATCTGACTAATAATTTCCTTATTAAAACAAAACCCATTTTTTCAGAGAAATTTCCCTTTTCTATTCTGATTTCATAATCATAGCAAGGAAATGATAATAAAATTATGCCATGACATTGTGGAAACCATCTAAATCTTTTGACTTTAAAAACAGGTGAAATAAGATTTAGAAGCTGTCTTTTGGATATTTTAAATATTGTTTGGAATAGATAAATTATATATTTGACTTCCTACTTTTTGATAGTAAGGCAAGCATCTAGGCTACTATGACTTGTGATTCAATAGAACTATACTACTCACTTAAATGAGTCACAGCATAGGTGCTCTACCCCTTCAGGACTGCTTGGTACCCAACAATCAGAAGCCCTTCTAGGGTACCGTTTGGTAGCTAGACTTACCGGCACTGCAAAACTCATTTTCAAGAGGCACAGGAACAATATCAGGTCCTTCATTTTGAAAAGTGGAATCTAAAACACAATTGGGTTTTAAATCAGATGGATTTTTACTTCAGAATAGTGAAAAGACGTTTTTACAAAATAAGTATCTTTGTTCTAAAATGATCAGGCTTAAAAAAAATCACCAAATATTGCTGAACAACTGGTTTGTATTCAGAAGGTCCTTGGAATGAATTGACAATTAAGTAGAGAAGACCTAAGCACTTTTCAATGGACCTACAATCTAAATAAATAATTTGGGAAAATCTCTACGGATATTCTTTAAATGCTGTGCGTTATTTCCTAAGATGGATTATGAAGTTAAAAAAATATTCCTCCACTCGGTGAAATAATGAAGTACAATTCACAGAAGTTTGTATTTTAACTTATGGGAAAAATTTTGACATGCACTTGAAATGTAATATAACCAATAATCATTCACAACAAACCTTTATTTGTATATATATGTATAAGTATACATATATACATTTAATAGGTTATTTATATAGCTATTCCAAAATTATATTTTCTCAAATTAGAGTAAATAAAATATTTTAATTTCCCTCGATATTTGTGGAAAATATGCCCCCAAATTTAATTTCCATACTAAAATAAATTATGTTTTTAAATTTATTCTATATGTTCAAAATACTCTTAACTCTTACATAGAGATCTGACTAGGAAAGACATATGCTTATCTTTTAATAGTTTTCAAAAGTTAGACACTGTCAATAATCATGAACCCTTCAAAAAGATATATTTAAAAGTTTATTTTTATTTTTTGCTTAGCTTGATGGGTATTAGTCATGACTTTTCTGGAACATTCTAATGGATTACAATAAGCTATTATGTAGCATCTGGTTACAAATAAAGATAAATATTCTTTATAAAGACTGCCTGAAGACAGGAAAAAAGATTTTACAGGAAATATATGGAAATCATAAAATCACATTTTACCTTAGATGCTGACATTCACTGTGTTCTCTGGGCCTGGTGATGCCAATAAAGATAGTTCTAAGAAAAGCAGATTAAATTTTTTTCTGGACTGTACCTGGGACTCACTCTTTACCTCTCATTCGGAGAAGATCAGAAACCTTTATTTAAAGTGCCAATCCACCAATCAAAGTGAAGCAAAATGGAGGAAAAAAAAATCTCTGCTCCTGCAATTAGTCCACACCCTTTTATTTCATGCAAGGACATTGGCCCTGAAGGGTCTCATTATTTTTAATTGTAAGTCAGCCCCTGTATTTATTCAGAGAACTCGATTGCAGGGAAGACAGTAAAGGGATATAAGCTCTGAAAATAATCATTTTGGGGAGCTGTGGGGGGATATATGTAAAATACATGCAAAGCAAGCCATTATTTGTTTGTTTATTTGTAGATAAAGTTAGTGACCCAATGCCAGCAGACTCAGGATTTTCCTCCCCTTCTTGATTGTGATAAAACTACTTCTTTCCTTTTCTCCAGGGAAAACACACACACACACACACACACACACACACACACACACACACAAATTCTACAGTGAAACACCAAAATTTTCCTGGACTTTTAAGAGACTATGAACACATTAGATGAACAATAAAGATGTTGTGATATTTTTCCTTCAGTATTTGCTAGATATTTTTGTATCTGAGCATCATTAATTAGAGATAGTCAAGCTTTTACAAGGAACTTCATTTGGACTCTTTATAAGAATCAGTTGGGATAAACCTATTACTCACATTCTTTGTATGTGAAAAAGGCAAAATTCAGAATAGTCTCCAGGAACCAAACAAATCAATGAGTAGAACTCTTACTTCAGCATTTAATAGTTGCTATTGTGTTTTCCTATTTTTAGATCAGGCACTCAGCCAGACTACTAAGGTACATTTGGGTTACTTAATTGAATCTTAAGGATGTATTTTTTTTTGTCTACATGAACAGATAAGAATGTCTTATACATGGATACATCAATTGCTTTTGTTATTTCTCTGCCCCTCTAAATCTTTCCAAGGGTATGATTTTGAATATGGAGTAAGCATTTAAGATTAGGTTTTGAAGAAGGGATGAGTCAGTACAGTCTTCAGGGAAGTAGAGATCTTTTCAATTACAGGGAGATTTGAGGAAGCCAGTATTTTGGATGAAAGTCCTCACCATGCCTAAACACAGGCCTAGTAGCTTCAAATAATGTTACCTAAGTAGGAATCCCTGAAAAAAACTCCTCCTCCCATGGGTAATAGAATTATTTTAGGAAGCAAAGAAACAATGTCAATGTGTTTTGCAACATTTTATTCTCTCCTGTTCTACTTATGGTGCTTGATCAAGCCTCTCAATTTGTCTGGGCCCCATTTTCTTTCTCTATATGGATTTTTAAAAAATTAACACAGGCTTGTCTTGAAGATGGCAAAGAATAGATTCTCAGTAAATGAGTTAATTGTCCTTCTTGTGGGAGAAATTGTATAAACATGGAGCCCTAAGGACACCATAGTGTGTGTATGTGTTTCTGTGTGTGTGTGTGTGTGTGT